CTTAGTTCCAGAGAAGAAGTCACTTAAAGCAGTATAGCCAAATACCCTTTTTGGCCCTGCCCCTCAGCCCCCTGGGGGGTCAGCCACACCATTTGTACAATTTTAAATCCCTGCCTCCCAGGAATGCTTTTGATCAAATATGATTGATATCCAGTGCACAGTTCTACAGAAGAAGTCGTTTGTAGCATTATAGCCAAATTGCCCCCTTTTGGCCCCGCTCCTCAGCCCCCTGGGGAGTCAGCCCCACCATTTGTACAATTTTTAATCACCACCACCTAGGGATGCTTCCAGTCAAATAGGGTCGATATCCACTGCTTAGTTCCAGCGAAGAAGTCGCTTAAAGCAATATGGGCAAATTGACCCCTTTTGGCCCCGCTCCTCAGCCCCCTGGGGAGTCAGCCCCACCATTTGAACAATTTTTAATCACCACCACCTAGGGATGCTTCCAGTCAAATTTAGTTTAATTCCAACCAGTGGTTAAGAAAAAGAAGTCGTTTAAAGAAATTGTTGACGTACGGATGGACGCCACGGTATGGCATAAGCTCACCTTGGTCCTTCGGACCAGGTGAGCTAATAAGTGACCTTAAACTTGAACATAGAAATCTGAAACGCGATCTTGTTCAAGGCAAATCTGTACCAAACATTTATATGTTTCATGAAATTCCTTTCAGTAATGAAGTCGCTAGAGTGATGACAAGGTTCTCTTCTAAAAATAGTGAAAGTGACCTTTACCTTCAATGCAATACTCTAAAACGCGATCTTGTTCCAAGGTATTGTGATACTTAACACTCGTATGAAGTTTCATGAAATTCAGTTGAGGAATAAAGTCGCTAGAGCGATGACATTTTTTTTCCTAAAAATAGTAATCGTGACCTTGACCTTCAACGTAGAAGCATTAAATGCATACTTTTTCAAGGTATTGTCATACCAAACTCTTGTATGAAGTTTCATGGAATTCCGTTCAGGAATGAAGTTGCTAGAGCGATGACAAAGAGTGTAACATACATACATACATACATATATACTTATGTATGTACGTACAGATGGAATCCTATATCCCCTCGAACTTTCGTTGCGAGGGGATAAGACACACAATCAAAGACCAAGAGAAACCTACTAATGACCTCAACATTGATCCTTCCAATACTCCTTGAGAAATCAGAGTAGTTCTGAAGCAAAAAATAAAACTGAAGAATTCATACATTCACTTTTTATTTAATCTCACCCTTGTATAGACAGAAACACTTCAAAACATTAAAATGTACAGCATATAACATTTAACATATAAACAAAATCTGATTATTAATAAAACCCAGTTATTTTTCTTGACTTTTTACCAATAATCATTACCTTTAAGTCTGGAACTCCTACTTCTGACATTGTATGTTTGTAAACGAATGACTTATTTTTATATAAGCTAATTACTGTAATGCATGACAGTTTATTCCAGGGAAACTTAACAAATATACACACATCTTTCAAAAATACGAAGATAAAATATTGTTCAGAAATCAATTTTAGCAGTTAAGCAAGGCAGTGCTGTAAATATATATAACATATATGTTTATAAGTAAACTCATTTAGATTATCAACAAAGCATTAGTAAAGTAAACACAAGTTTATTTGTTTAGTTTCACATCTCTTTGACAACAATAGGACCTTGACATCATGAACTTGAATGATCTCAGGTAAAAAGTCAAACAAAAACAAATATTTGATCTATGACCAGTGTAATATCACAATAACCTTCACTTCAATATCAATAGAAGTAGACAATGACCTGTGTACAAAGTTACATCGTGACAGCAGGACCTTGGAGAAGTTATGAGTCAACAGACACATCTCCCCCAGTTTCACTGGTAGGGGAGAGTACTCAATAAGGAAGTTCACTGATAGGGGAGAGTACTCAATAAGGAAATTGACTGGTAGGGGAGACTACTCAATAAGGAAATTCACTTGTAGGGGAGACTACTCAAAAAGGAACTTCACTTGTAGGGGAGACTACTCAATAAGGAATTTTACAACCTGGATAAGGAATTTTCACTGGTAGAGGAAC